GTGGCTGAGCCTAATATGTGAGGGGAAGCACAGGAGAGGGTGGCGGGGCCAGCGACTCTCTCTGCCATGCTAAAAAGCCAGGAGGGCTTTGTCCCAGTGGTCAAGGAGGAGTTTCAAGCAGAGGAGTGACATTTTAGACAGGTGACTGTGGTTGTCACATAGACCATGAGCCAGAGGAAGTGAATGCCTTCGGGCGAGTGGTAACCAGAGCAGACACCAGTGAAGAGGTAGAGAGCTGGGGATTTAGCTCAGTGGTTCCGCCGCCTGCCTCCCAAGCGCAAGGTCCCGAGTTCGATCCCCGGTACCAAAACCAAAACAAAACAGAGAAGAGCTAGAATGCAACACAGCATGGAGGGAGGCGGGAGGGAGGAAGTGGATCCCACCTTGGCTGTTGAGGATGCAGATGTGAGGTCCACAGCTGCATTACCTGGCTGGACTCAGAGTGTGGGGAGCTGAGGGGACCCCGTACCTTCCCACAGGTGAAGAACTGAAGGCTAGTGGTGAGCCATGGCTATCAGACTGCTGATATCAGTGAACACCTAATCGGATTCCCTACTTGGGCATACAGCGTTTGGGATGCTATTGGACCCCATTATCCTGCAGCAGATGCTCCAGTACTCAGCCTATACCTCCAGCCAACACAGTGCTCACCCGACCTACAAGCCCAGTGTCCCCACTGGCCAGCAATGCTCAGAAACCCTGCTTTCTGGCCTACAGAAGTAGTTCATGATCAGCCCCATCTCCCACTCACATGTGCACCCCACTCCTCCCGACCTCTGAGTCTCCACTCCGCGCTGAAACAGTTTCCCTTCTTGACAGTAAAACTTCTCTCGATATCTGGTCTTCAGTCTTAACACAAGCTAGAGGCTCCTGCCAGCCACGAGAGCCTGAAGGGACTTCAACCAACTTGGACACACCCTCTGTGTTCTTTGCACAATTCTGATGTTCTGCGGGTGCAGTGGGGCCAGTAGGGGTTGCAGGTGCTGGGCTACGGATGGTGGGAGAGTACACGTAGGAATGTGAAGCCCCAGCTCTGGTTTCCGGTTCCCAAGGTAACCTTTGACACGCTTGTCCTTCCTAGCCCTCCAGACCCCAGGTTTTTGCACACGCTGTTCCCTCTGCCTGGAATACTCCGCCCCTTTCTCTTTGCCTGTGTGGGTCGTGGTCTTCCCTTACCTCTGTGCTTTACCAGGGGAGACCCCAAGTTAAATGCTCCCTAGGACAATGTTCTGTTACTTCCTCCCCTGCCTTAAGGTTTTTGGTGTGCAGTATTTGTTTGCTAACATTTGCCTCCCCCAGAACTGTGCCTTCCAGGAGGGAGGGTTCTGCCTGTCTCACCCACTGCTACAACCCCCAGGGCCCCGCCCCCAGGGGGCTGTCCCAGGCCTAGGTGCTGAATGAATGAGTGAACAGATGGACAGAGGGCATGTGGTAAAACAGAAGGCTCAATTGGATAGGATCCTTCCCAGAAATGGCATCGTTTTCTAGGCTTCTATTGCTTCATCTGAAATAAGACAATGTCACTGCTGCTTTAATTCTGTATCTGATGACTCAGGTCATCCTGATAAAGTTTGGGGTGCTTTGAAAGCTGCTTGGATAAATGTTCCCATTGGCTTGTGGCCCTTGTTTTCTAACTCCAGTTACTTTCAGTGGACCTCAGGATGGAAACTCAGACTGTGCCAGAAGCCCCAGGCCCCAGTGTCAGAGCTGGCGGTGGATGACACTTTCCAGGGCAGGATGAGTCTCCACAAGCCCCTTCCACGCCCCGCAGAGAGGGGGATAAACCCCTTCCATCTCCCTGTGGTCAGGCAGGAGGGCGAGTGAGTGTCACAGCTCAGAACCAGGAATTGTGTCCCGATGGCCCTAAGAGCTCCATGCCTTTGTCCATCTGTCTGTCATCAGTGATGAGGGAAGGAGCTTTTCTAAGGCAGAGCCAGAGGTCTGGCCTAGGCCCCAGGGCGTCACTGCAGGCTTGGCAGGAAGGCTGCCTGGCCACCTTTGCTTTTACTGCTGCAGGTGCAGTGTGTCTGCTGGGGTCTGGTCTGCTTGTAGACACCACAGGATCATCTGTTATCTTCACCAAGGTCTCTTCCTGGCCATCCTGTGTGACCCAGAACTGCCCTTTTCTCTCCCCTTCCAGTTTTGTTTGGCGGTGCTGGGAATCAGGCCCAGGACCTCATGCCTGCTAGGCATGCACTCCACCACTGAGCTACATTTCCACCCCCTCACCTAGACTGACAGCCTAGGGGTGGGGTGAGGGAAAGATAAAGCCAGTGTTCCTAAGAGACAGGACAGGGCTGGGGATTTAGCTCAGTGGTTTCGCCACCTGCTGCGCAAGCGCAAGGACCGGAGTTCAATCCCCAGTACCAAAAAAAAGAGAAGATTATATTGTACCTAAGAGACAGGACAGGGAGCTCTTGTTTTAACAAATGACAAGGGCCACGAAAGAACTGAGAACTGAGGGAAGGGAAGGAAGAGGCTTTTCAGAGGCTTACGGTACAATGGCTGGCACACACAAGGGAGAGCCTCAGCAGGTGGGGAGCTCTCCTTCCCACACAAGGCAGCCCCTTGTCCCCAGCCCGCGATGTGCCCAGTCCCTGTCTTCGGCTTTGCTCAGGGCATCACTCATCCTCATTTCACTGGTGCTTTCTGGTCACCTTGGAATTCCTTAGCTGGCCAAAGACCTCCTTAAAATCACACGGGTCAGACAGCCGGGGATTTAGCTCAGTGGTGCCACCGCCTGCCTCGAAAGCACAAGGTCCCGAGTTCAATCCCCAGGACCCAAAACAAAACAAATCACATAGGTCAATACTATCAAATAGCTATCAAAATCCCAACAGCATTATTTTCAGAAACAGAAAAATCCACCCTAAAATTCATATACAATCTCAAAGGACTCCAAGAAGCCAAAACAGTTTTGAAAAAGAACAAAGTTTGAGATCTCTTGACTTCCTGACTTCAGAACTTACCATAAAACCACAGTAATCAAAACAAACAGTGTTGGCATAAAGACAGACATATAGCCTCGTAGAATGGACCAGAGTTCAGAAGCGAACCTCATAGGTGCCCAACTGATTTTTTTTTTTTGGTACCAGGGATCGAACTCGGGACCTTGTGCTTGCGAGGCAGGTAGTGGCACCACTGAGCTAAATCCCCAGCCCAGGCCAAGTGATTTTTTTTTTTTTTCGTTTTTTGTTTTTTGGTACTGGTGATCCAACTCGGGACCTTGCGCTTCTGAGGCAGGCGCTGGAACCACTGAACTAAATCCCTGGCCCTTGGCTAACTGATTTTTGACAAGTGTGCCAAGGTCATTTAGTGAAGAAAGGACAGGGTGTTGTTTTTTTTTTTAAACAAATGGTGTTGAAAAAACTGGATATCCATAGGCAAATAAAATGAAATTGGACCTTTATCTTATACCATCTACAAATATTAACACAGAATGGATCAAAGACCTAAACATAGAGCTAATATTATAAAACTCTAAGAAGAAAACAAGGGAAAAGCTTCATAGCATTGGATTTAACAGTGATGACTTAGATATGATACCGAAAGCACAAACAACAAAAGAAAAAAATAGGGTCGGGAATTTAGCTCAGTGGTGCTGCCGCCTGCCTTGCAAGTGGAAGGTCCCAAGTTCGATCCCCGGTACAAAAAACAATAGATAAATTTGGATTAATCAAAATTTAAAACTTTGCCCCAGTGTGGTGGCACAAACCTGTAATCCCCACTTGGGAGGCTGAGGCAGGAGGATTGCCATGAGTTTGAGACCAGCTGGGCTACACAGTGAGTTCAAGGCCAGCCTGAACTACACAGTAAGACATTGTCTCAAAAAATAAAAAACAAAACAACAAAAAAATCAAAAACACTTTTGTGCATCAAAGAATACTATCAACAGATTTAAAAAGCAACCGAGAGAACAAGAGAAAATACTGTAAATTAGACAAAAGATTCATACCCAAAATATATTTTTAAAAATTCCCACAACCAATCACAACAATTAAAAATACCTTGGACTTAAAAATAGGCAAAGGACTTGAATAGACATTTCTCCAAAGAAGATACACAGATGGCTGATAAACCACACAAAAAGGTGTCCAATATCACTAATCATTACAGAAAATGCAAATCTCAAACCACAATGAGATACCAACTCATATCCACTATAATGGCTATTATAGGAAAAAGAGAGAGAAAAGAAATATTGACAAAGATGGATAGAAATTGGAACCCCTGTGCATTGCTGATAGGATGGTAAAATGGCACAGCCCCTATGGAAAACAATACGGGCGTTGTTTAAAATATTAAAGATAGAATAACCATATGATCTAGCAATTCTACTTCTGGGTAGATATCTAAAAAAGATTGAAAGCAAGACCTCAAACAGATATTTGTACACTCATACTCATAGTAGCATTATTGATAACTAAAATGTGGAAACAACCCAAACGGCCACTGTCAGATGAATGGATATATAAAATGTGCTACATTTATATAATGGACTATTATTCAGCATTAAAAAAGAATGAAATTCTAATCCAGGCATGGTGGTATACACTTGTAATCCCAGCACTCAGGAGGCTGAAGCAGGAGGATCGCAGTGAGTTTGAAGCCAGTCTGGGCTACATGGTGAGTTCAAGGCCAGCCTGAACTACACAGGGAGGCCTTGTCTTAAAAAACAAAATTCTGACACACGCACAAGGTTTTGGACATTATGCTAAGTAAAACAAGTCACTCACAATAGGACAAATACTGTGTGATTCCACTTACATGAGGTACGGAGAGCATTCAAATTCAGGTAGACAGGAAGTAGAATGGCAGTTACCATGGACTGAACCGAGGGAAGGGAGGATGAGGAGTTATTACAGGGATTCAGGTTGGGATGATGAAAAAGTTGTGGGGATAAACAGTGGTGATGGCTGCCCGACAGGATGAGTGCACTTCATTCCACTAAACTGCACACTTAAAAGTGGCCAAAACGGTAAATGTTATGTTAGGCATACCTTACCACACGCACACACACAGTCAGGGAGCGTGCGGCGCTCAGATCCTCATGTGTCCCGTCACAGGGAGCTGACTCGGGGCCCTGGAAGGGAAGGAGAAGGCGCCTGCTGCATGCTGGGATTGTCCACCTGCCCAGCGTTGCTTCTTCTTTCTATCTCTAACCTCTGTCCATCCTCAGTGCCCAGCTCTGGGCCTCTCCCACTTCCCCCAGAATGCACCTCCAGCCCTCACTGCTCCCCTAGAGCACATTTGGGGTGTCTGCTCCCTCCTGCCCCGGTGAGCCTGCTCCTTCATCCAAGCTCTTTCCTCAGAAGGCCAAAGCCCTTCTGGCACCAAGACAGCTGCTCCTCCTCTCGGGCTGAGGAGGCTTCCAGGGCACCCTTGGTCTCCTGGTCTCCACAGCGAGGCTCCTGGCACCCAGCTCTCATGGCCGCTGTGAGCAACCCTGGACACGGAACAGAACTCCCCAGCACGGAGAGGGACACACAGTAAGTCCTCGATATGTTCTGATTGCTGCCGTCACGAAGATTCTTCCGGTTGGCCTGGAAGAGCCCCCGCCCTCCTCTAGCCTCACTTCTGGAGCCCCAGCTCCACTCCTACCCCGCACAAGGCACCCTTGGCCACTTCGGGGCCCACTGAACCCTATGGAAGGAACACCTTCAAAGGTAAGGAAAATCTGACTTCATAGGGTTATTGTGAAGACTGATGACCGAAACCACGAACACTTTAGGAGGAGGCCGGGCCCAGGAAGTGCACTCAGGAAGAGTGCACAATGCTGTGAATACATCGAAGGTGACGATGAGCAACTGAGGACGGCAGCAGTCACTGTCCACGTCTGTCCGTGTGCACTGCCCCCTCCTCCCTGCTGTCTACTTTGCCTTTGGGCTTGCTGCAGAACTGGGCCTCACTCACACTGCAAGTGCTTTGGCCCTGAGCCAGGGCTGGAGGCAGATCGAGAGGGACCTTTACCCAAGGGGGACCGGAGCCGCCACCCTGGAGGGTTTTCAGCAGGGCCGAGACCATCTGATCTGCACCGAGACATGTTCCCTGTGGCTGCTGGGTGACGAATAAACAGTGGGGGCCTGGTAGGAGGAGGCTGAGAGGGGCATCCAGAGGAGAGGTGGCGGTGGAGGTGCAGGGCTCTGAGCAGATTGTGAGTATAAGAGAGAGGCCCAGAGCTGCCACTGGATTGGCCTGGGGCTCAGAGACTTGGTCTGCAGGGGACTTGGGGCACTTGCTGGATGGCCAAACCCTCCCAAGGCCCGGGTGGAAAGCACAAGTGGGCACCTGGTTCCTGAGAGCTGAGCGATCTTCCCCCATCTTTTCCAGGTAGAGACAGAAAGTTCTTTCAGTATTTGCAGCTGTAAATTGAGCCCAGGCCATTCCACTGCCCTAGTTGAGTGTGCCCAGCACTGAGAGGCCATGGGAATGAGAGGTGGGCGGGGAGCGAGGCCTGGGTGGCAGGCATGCCTCTTGCATGACCGGTATGGAGTGAGCCGGGCGCTGGTGCCTGTCAGACCCAGGGAGCTTGTGCCAGGCTGTGTGGGCTGGAGGACCCGGTCCCTCCTCCTGCCCTAAGCACTTCAGGTCCACACATGCCCTCCCATCCTGCCTCCGGAGCCCGCTCTCAGATCAGAAGTATCCCAGGGCCCCCAAAAGAGGCTCTTCCTTGGGATTCTCTCAGAGGTGGGGGGTGGAGAGCAAAACCTCTGATCCTGATGCCAGACACCAACCCTAAGAAATTGCCCTCCTCAGCTTTTGGAATTTCAGGCAAGGGACAGAGGCCCTGCGGGCTGTCAGAATGGCTGGTCCAGGGCTGGGTTAGCCTAGGCCTCACCTTACCAAGCTGCAGGTAGGGACCGAGGGGTTGACCTTGGGCTGAGTTTCCCCACGCCAGAAGTAGCCCTCTACCCGACCATCAGGGGATTCTCAAAGACCCCAGACCTACCCAAGATTGGCTTGCCATGTAGTTGGGGTCCCATCAGGGACTTTCTAATCCCTGAACCCCACCTTGCCCTTCTGGAAAGTGCCAGCTGGTCCTGTCTTGGCCCCTGTCCTAGAAACCTGTTCCCCAACACCCCCAGGAAAGCATATTGTCCTTGGCTTCTCATGAATTCCCTGTCCCCAGGAGCTAGGATCTGATGTCCAGCCTCCTCAAGTTCCCTTCTCCATTTACTTCAAAAAGACATATACCCCTGACCCCCGACTGCACTCAGCTTTCCCAGGCCTGGCTTCTAGCCATGTGTGGTAGTTACATGCCCGCCAGGGAGCGAAAGTAGAGCCCCGCAAAGGCATTCAGGTGACCTGGGTTCCAGCTGCTGGGATGGATTGAGGCCAGGGCGGTGCCCCAGTAGAGGTGGTAATCTGGGGACTCAGGAAATCTGGAGCGGGGGGTTCAGGAGAGGTGTTGCTGCCCTTGTGAGAGGAGGGCAGAGAGGAACACTCTCTGACAGCCGCTCTCTCCCTGTGCACTCTGTCCCGCCTCTACTGCCTGAGCGGGCACCGTCCTTCAGAGAGCAGTCTCCAGGATCCTCTGCCCCAGGCCAGACTCTGCCTTATCTGTCACTCAGAAACACTTGTGCCCAGCTCCCAACCCCATCCATAGCCCTGAGATCACCCCAAACGGCTCCCTCCTTGAAGGGTCCCCGCTTGTGCTCCAAGGGCTGGATGGAATGGGAGGGGCCTCGCAGAGTAACCATAGAAATGGTGGCTGCTGAGGCAGGGTATGGGGTGAGGTTTCCTGGGGACCAGCAAGGTGCCGGGAGAGAGGCTGACCTTGACCCACTTAGGCCCTCTGGAGAGGACTGGACCACCATGTACTCCCCACGAGATACCTTGTGTCCCAGACAAGGAAGTTCAAGTTGGCTCCAAGGGGCTCCCCAAATCACAGTCCCCTTCATCCCCTTCCCAGCCACTGCCAGGAGCAGCAGACCCCAAGGGGAGCCAGTGAAGTAGACACTGTCCCTGCCCTTCTCTCTTCCATCCTTCGCCCTGTGTCCTGGGCACAGAAAGGAGACAGAAGTACCCATCCCCACTTGCCATCCCACTCTGTGTGGCAAACGAAGCAAGCCCCCTCCTGTCCATGGAGTCGTGTCCCGTGGCTCTCCTGGGGGTACTGCTCCTCCAAGCTCCATGTGCAGAGTGGGGCCTCTGGCCAAGACCGGCCCTCTGTACCCAGAGAGCCACTAGGGGCTTCCTGGGGATCTGGCCATGTGCTTTTTTGCCCCTGGTACTACCCTGTGACAGGAAACCCAAGTTCTCTAGGACTGGGGGTCAGGCACTCAGGGAGGGGTGGGAAAGGGCATACGCAGAGGCAAGACACTGATGGAGGGAGGCAGCCCCTTTTCTCCCGGCCCCAGTTCACCACTGCTGTCGGCCAGGTGATTCTGCCACCTGGCACCATGGCAGGGATCTCTGCAAAGCAGAGGTTCTGGATATTCAGACTGATATGGTCAGGATTTCTAGAAGAAACCCTCAGAGAACAACTGTGACCTTCAAGGAGCTCCCAGGGGCCAGTCAGCTGCTATAAAACCGAAGGACAGGCAGTGTCCCCCCAAGAAACCTGATCACTCAGGGCCCTGCAAGGGTCACACTAAGCGCCCCACGCACTGTCAAAGACCCACCAGGGACTTAAACACCTAGGATGCACCATCACTTTGGCCTCTTATCAAAGCTTCTACTCCTCTCTGATCCCATCTGTAAAGTGGGCGCCATCACTCCAGTGGCTCAAAGGGAGTCTTTCTCCACCAGTCTCTCCCTTCTGCCTCCCATGCATTCCAAAAGCTCACTCTCTGCTTTGCAAGCGCAGCTGCCCTAGGCCGATCCATTGACCAAAGCCCAGGCAAAGAGGTCAACATAAATATTCCTTTGCTAATGGGAGGCTGAGCTTTTGCTGGCCCAAGCACAAGTCTGACACCCAGCCATGCCACCCCTCTATTTCAGCTGGCACTGGTCTGCTCAGCACCTACTGTGTGCCAGGCACGTTGACAGGCAGGGAGGCAGGCAGTGGGCAGAGAGCAGGGTAAGCCGTGCTATTGGCCCTAGGGTCACTCCCGGCCAGTGGCATCTGCACAGGCATGGCCTTGAAGGTCCACTCAGCAAAATCCTAAAGGAGAAGAACTGCCCCTAGGAGCCTGGCAAGGAGCAAGAGACCGTTCAGCCAGGTCTGCCGGCCTTGGTGAAATGGCAGTGCCACCACCCATCTGGTCAGACAGCAAAGTCCCCTCACATTTAAGGGAAGACAGGAGCTGAATTTCCTACCAGGCTCAAACGCAATGAGCCAGCAATAAATCAAGAGCTGAAAAGCAATGTTAGTGCTTCAAACTAAATTTTCAAGCCCAAGAAACAACTGCACATTAAAATCCATCGGAGGGGGAAAAAATCTTATTAAGAAGCTTCAGGAGAAATGCTTTGCTATAAATTAGGCTTTTCTGCCAACCAAGATAATTCAATAATTTCCCCGACATCCTTTCGATTGCTCTGGGTGGGAGGGGGAGTGTTGATGCCTTGAAGTCGGGAGCGATTTGTCGCCAAGGGAAGATGAAGAGTCAACAACCAAGAGCAGAGGTGAGAGAACCAGGGCGAGGTGCTCCTAGCACCCGATGGGTCGCCCCCAGGCTCAGTACCACCACCGAACAACAGTTCTAGGGCGGCCTGGAGAACTGCAGCGCAGGGCAGTGACCAGGAGACACCTAAAGGCACATCCTGACTGTGTTGGGAAAGACTTTGGGGTCTTCTAGTATCCAGTCTCAGAGCTTCCCCTAACTCTGTGGAATCAGATCTGTTCTCCCAGTGCAGAAGTTCACTTTTTAGCTTTGGGGTGGAGGCTACTGGCCCTCCCAGTCTGCCTGTGTTGTCCAAAGCCCCTCCTCCGAGTGATATCTATCTCCCACACAGCAGTCACAGCTGATCTCCTGCATAAGGTGCAACAGAGCCATGATGCCAGACTGCTTTGGGTTGGCCAAAGTTACTCAGGCAGCTGGAAGAGGGAGAAGGGAGGGTTCCAGGCAGGGCAGGGATCGTGCAGGACTGGGTACAGGCGGCCTGGCCAACGGGCATTAGCCCTCAAAACAACTGTGGCGGAGGGGACAGGACGAAGGCAAGGGACCTGAACCAGGATCTGGACAGGACAGGCCTCCAGAACCACCCTGCCTGGCTGTAAATCCTGGCTCGGTCACTAGCAGGTCATTTAGCCTCTCCAAACCTGGCTTGGATTTCTGTAAAATGAGGGTAACGAGAGAACCTGCCTTCCAGGCTGAACTCAGTGGGAAGATGTGTGGGAGATACCCCGTGCTATGCCTCCTAAAAAGCGGCAGCATTTAGCAGAGTCTGCAGGGCAGGGATCTCCTGACCCCCGACTCCACACCCTGGTCACCTGCAAACTGAGGCAGGAAGACACGAAACAGCCCCTTTTCCCAATATTCTCCGAGTCTCCAGGGGGACGATCACAGGACAGCAGAAAGAGGTCAGAGGGGAAGGTAGTGGGAGAGTCTGGGAAAATTTCCACTTTAAGCAGCTGTCCCTGCACCCTGCCGGCCTCAGGGCAGAAAGGTCTTCTCGCCCCACCCTATGGAACAGTCTTCCCTGGCCGGGCAGCCCTAGGTGTAGCTGCTCTGTGCTCCTTGACCCCTTGGGGTTCAGGCTGCCTTTCTGAGGCACAGTCCTGGCCTTGACCTCACATGGGCAGTGCTGTGGCACAGGCTGCCTCTCACCCGTCCAGGCCCCAGGCCTCAGGGGTGATCTGTGAGTGAGTCGGGGGCTTTCTGGAGCCCCCATCTTTGCAGGAGCAGGGGAGGGTGCTGGGCTGCAGTATTCCCAGGGGACCCAGCCCTGCACGAGGTTTCGGGGGACCTAAGAGTGGAGGTCAAGGGCAAAGTGAGGCCTGGGGAACTGCCATCACCTGAAACCAGGCTGGGAATTCTGCAGGGGCCTAGTCAATACCACTGGATTTGCTTGGAAATGACAAATATTTGCCCCCGGGACGGGGAATGAACAGGTTCACTGGTTTTGCCTAGGAAAGCACCACCGGGAGACCCCCTGGCACCTGGCAGGGTGGGAACAGGGCTGGAGGGATCTGGGGGCTTGGAAGCTTCAGCTCCTCCCACTCAGTAGCTACACGACCTTGGGCAAATCGCTCGGCCTCTCTGAGCCTCAGTTTCCCCGTCGCAAAGCAGAGGCATCTACTGAGGCTTGCTGAAGGATAACCAATACAGTACCTGGGACGCTCCGAAAGGGCCGGGCTCGTTACGACACCACCAGGAAAACCCGTGGGAAATCTGGGCGCCTCTGGGAAGCTGGGGGTGGTGTGGGGCGCCTTCCGGGAGCCGGAGCAGGGGGCGGAGCGTCGCAGGCCCCGCCCCCCCGGGCCAGCCGAGCTTCCTCGGGGCCAAGGGGAGCTGAGTCACCGCGGGCCCGCCGTTGACCTTATCTCGACAGTCGCTGCTCCCAAAGGTCCTGGCCTGTGCGCAGGGCAATTCCAGCTTGGGCCACGTCCCTGCAGCGGTTCTGCGAGTGTGCCCGGGGCCCAGGGGCTTGGGGTCCCCGACACGCGCCTATGTGTGCACCATGGGCTCTCCTCCCCGGGGCTCGCGTGGTTTCTGCAGATGCCTCTCCAGGCTGCCACCCCACGCTGGGAGGGGAAACCTGGAGCCGGCGCTGCGGCCAGACGCCGGGAGAGAGCAGGGAGGCGGCCCGGGCGCCCAGGGCCCCGCCCGTCCGCCCCAGCCCCGGGGCCCGAGGGGAAGTGGGGGAGGGGAGCCGAGCTGACAGACTGTAAACAGAGCCGGTCTGGGTCTCGGCCAAGGACGGGGTGTCCTGGCCCAGCCTGGGTGTGAGGCCCATCCGCGGCTCTCCAGGACATCCCGCCCTGCCGGGCTGCCCCAGGACTGTCGGAGTTTTGGGAAGTGGCCAGTGTCTCCCCCCCACCCCCCGGGGATGCGTTTGGGTCGGGGTCTGAGGTGGGGTAGGTGTCTTGCGTTGGAGGTTGTGCTTGTGTTGTGTTTCTGTCTCTAAGAACAGGCGAGGATAAGTCCTCAGCCAGGTGTCAAGCTCAGGGAGAAGAGCTTGGGCCCGGTTGTCCCCCACACTCCAGTCCTGCCTCTTGATCTTCCAGCTGCCGGAGGCAGAGTCCTCGGTGACGCGGGGAAGCTCAGAGAGGGCTCACCAGCTCTGAGGGCCTTTCGAGGGCTGGCCTTGCACCCCTAGCCTGCTGCTGCTGCCGAGTGTGGGATGACCCTGACCTCACAGTGATGAGGACGGGGTGGGGGTCCGAGGACCGGCGTCCTAGGCTACCCAAGGAAGAGACAGCTGTGAGCAGGAGGTGGGGAGAGGGTGGAGGGGGAGCTCCCCCTTGCAAGATGCGGAGAGGTGTCCCTATGGCCAAGGGCTGAAGTAACCGACGCGGCACTTGCTTGTAGGGGCTGGCATTTCCCAAGATGTGCCCCTGCATGATTGTGGATGGGGTTGGCAAACCTGCGGGGGAAATGTCTTTCCACGAAGGGAAACGCCGCTTCAGCCTTCCTGGGGCCTTTATTCCTCCCTCCCCCTTCTCATCCTCCTTTCTCCTTTCTCCTTTCTGGTACTAGGGATTGAACTCAAGGCCTTTGCACTGAGCTACATCTCCCAGCTCTTTTTTAATGTTTTATTTTGAGACAAGGTCTCATTTCCCCAGCCTGGTCTCGAACTCATGATCTTCTCTGCCTCAGCCTCCCCGAGTGCTGGGACCGTAAGAATTGGCCCTCTAAAAAAAGAATTCACCATCCATCCTGACTCATAGCCTTCTGTTTCAATTGCCAGGCAGTGGTGGCGCTTGCCTGGAATCAGCATTCTAGGATGCAGAGGCGGGAGGATTCCAGGTTTGAGCTCGGGCTATGCAATTTGGTGAGACTCTGTCTCAAAAAGAGTTGGCAATATAGTCCACTCAGAAGGCCCTCGGTTCAATTCTGAAAGAAGGTAATGGAATCAGTACTAATGAATCAGCATCTTCTCCGAGAGGAAGAATGTATGTGGGCAGATCTCCCCGCTTAACCCCCAACTTGTGGGACTTGTACTGTTCTGAAAACTGGACCCCAAGGAGTTATAAGTGTTTCTTCCTGGCTCTGGCCCACATAGAATGATTGGGCATATGCAGGCATAAAGGAAAATACGGCTTTCCTAGAAAGGCAGTCAATGACCACCTCCTCACAGGGAACGCAGCCTGCACAAGCCTGGGCAAGGGGTGGTGGCTGGAAGAGAAGTTAAATGAGTGAGTTTAGCAAACTTCAAAAGGTTCTTGGCCCTAGGTGGGAGGCAGTCACCTACTCCTCAAACCAGGTCCCCCGTTAAGCATCAGAAAATCTAGGGTTCCATGTCGGTTAGGGGATCCCATGGCCTGTGCAGAGCACATACTAATTGGGGCTTGTAGATCTCAGCAGCTTTGCAGCTGGAGGAGGAGCTCAGGGGGCTCCTCTCCTATGATATTTTCTGAGCTGAGCCCCATACTGCTGTATAATTGACTCCACGAACAGAGTCAGCCTCAGGAAATGGGCTTTCTCATCACCGGTTAGGTAAGGAAGGAGGACCCAAGTTGAGCTGCTGAGGGATGGATCCCTGTGACAAAATGTGACCAACACCAGTAGAACCCACACCTTCCCTGGGAGACAGAATGACCAGGAGGGTTGCAGGGGAAAGAAAATGTAGACATGATGCCTTCTTGGACTTGTTCTAGAGCTCCCCTGGGGCTGCCAGAAATCCCTGGAGCCCCAAGCAAGGGGTTGCAGAATCCCAGCTGGAGCAGGTGGGAGTAAGAGAAGAGCATAGGTGGGAACCGGGGCTGGGTCCTCTCATCCTCACAGGCTGGGGAAGGGGTGTGTATGTGCCTGGACCCTTGCCATGCTTGCACGCTACACGTGGAATTGGGAAACTCCAGTATGGTGATGCCGTTTGTGTACAGTGAAACGGGATGCAGGCAGGGTGTGGCAAGCCTTTCCAGGTGGCTACATTTTAGTGGTGGGACGGGACTGGCCTGGCCGGTCTGGCCAGCATCAGAAGAAGAGGTTGGAGAGGTCCGGAGTTAGCTTTGCCAGCTTCTCAGAGGTGCTGGATTTCAGGCTAAGGAATGTAATGATGTCTCCCAGGCCTGCAGAATACACACTGCCTCCTCTTGAGCCTCACTTGGTCTTCATGGCCAGCTGGATCGAACTCGGGACCTTACACTTGCGAGACAGGCAGCGGAACCACTGAGCTAAATCCCCGGCCCTAACATTCCTATTTTGATGTGTACTGGAATCCTCACTGTGTTAAAATGGAGTAAACTGCTACGATATAATTTTCCTTTCGGCCAATAATGCTGCCCCCAGTCCCTACGAGCTGTGCCATTGGCTGGGTTTCATTTAATTGTTTTTTTTTAATAATAGCTTGATTGAAATATAATTCACACACCATATGATTCACCTATTTAAAATGTACAATGCAATTTTTTGTGTGTATTCACAAAATTGTGTAACCATCACAACAATTAATTTTACATTTCATCACCCTCCTCAAGCAACCCTGGCCATGAGCAATTACTCCCCCTGGCCTCTCATGCCCCACCCCTGCCCCACATAATCCCTGACCCACTTCTGTCTTTTTGTTTTTCGGGTTTTTTTTTTTTTGGTAGCGGCAGTCGAACTCGGGACCTTGCGCTTTCGAGGCAGACGGAACCACTGAGCTAAATCCCTGGCCCCACTTCTGTCTTTTTGGAGTGGCTCAGTGATAGACCACTTGTACTACCTCGGTTAAATCTATTCCTATGTATTTTATCCTTTTGAATTGATTTCTTTATTCAGTTTTATGTTATTTTGCTAGTGTACAGAGATAAAATTTTTTTGTATATTGAGCTTATATCTTGTAACCTTGCTGAGCTTATTAGGCCTAGTAGTTTCATGGATTCCTTAGGATTTTCTGTGTACTGTACAAAGTCATGCTATCTGTGAGAGATGTTTTACTTCCTTTCGAGTCAAGAAGCCTTTTATTGTTTTTTCTTGCCTAATTGCTCTGACTAGAACTACTACACTATAATGGTAAATAAAAGTGTTAAGAGCAGACCTTCTTGCCTCGTTCCTGATCCTAGGAGGAAAGCATTTGCTCTCTCAACATTAATCAAGATGTTTTTAAAGAGGCTGTTTATATCATGTTGAGAAAGTTCCTTTCTAGTCTTACCTTGCTGAGTATTTTTGTCATGAAGGGGTGTTGAATTTGGTCAGATACTATTTAGGTGATTGAGCTTTGTCCTTCTACTGATGTGGTATATTACATTAATTGATAGATGTTGTTGTAGTCAGCAGGATTTGCCAAGGAAATACATTAAATATAGGACATATAACATAAGATTATTTATGATAATTACCCAAAAAGTCAAATACAAAGGAGTACAAGAGATTAACTGCATGCTAGAAGCCCAAAGGATTCAGCTGAGGGCCTGGATCCCAGCAATGTCCCACACAAGTCCAGCTAAAGGCTTAGAGTCCAAGGCAATGTGCTCCTCAACTCCAGCCAGTGGCCTGGAATGCATGGCAATGTCTCATGCTTGTCCGTCTCGAGGATCTGCACCTGGAAGGCCTAAAGGCCAGTGGTGGAAGCCAGAAAACCTGCGCCGGTGGGGTGAAGGATTTGTGCCACCAGGCTGAGGGATTGGAGCCAGGAAGTGATGCTCACGGTGAAGATCAGAGCTCCCCTGATGAGAACAGCAGCCATTCCCAGTGACAGCGAGGCCCGGAGCTCCTCCTCTGACGAGAATAGCAACGTTTGCATTAGGAAAACCATCCACAGCAAGCTTCTCCTAAAAAATCAACAGGCAGGGCTGGAGGTTTAGCTCAGTGGCACCAGTGCTTGCCTGGCAAGCACAAGGTCCTGACTTCAATCCCTGGTTCCACATAAAAAAGAAAAAATCAACAGGCCAAGATCTTCCCCTCCAGTTCTTTTTATGGCTATTGATAACAGTGTTCAGATGGATCCTCCACACCAAGACCACACTGATTCAGCTCAGCTGGGCATTACAAGTTGACCATTAGTCAATTCACCACAGATGGCTAAATCAACTTCGTATTCCTGGGACAAATTTCACTTGGTTATGGTATGAAACTTTTCCTGTGTTGCTGGATTTGTTTTTCTAGCATTATGTTGAGGATTTTAATGTCTGATTCATAAGAGATACTATTCTGTAGTTTTCTTTTGATATCCTTGTCTGGCTTTGATTCCAAGGAAATACTGACCTCATAGAATGAGTTGGTAAATATTCTCCTTGTTTATCTTTTTAAAGGACTTATTTTTCATGGGCCAGGGATTTAGCTCACTGATGCCACCACCTGCCTCGTAAGCACAAGGTCCAGAGTTCGATTCCTGTTACCAAAAAAATGACTCATTTTTCATATTGTAAAAATAGGAAAATACAGTATAACTAAAATTAAAATTACTCAGTCTAGGTGTGGTGGTGCACACCTGTAATCTCAGCACTCAGGAGGCTGAGGCAGGAGGATCGCCATGAGTTGGAGGCCAGCCTGGGCTACACAGTGAGCTCAAGCCCAGCCTGAACTGCATAGTGAGACCTTGTCTCAAATGCTACTACTACTAATAATAATAATTTAAATTACTAATAGCACTACATAAAGGTAAGCACCATTATTATTTGGCTATATTTTTCCTGTTTTTTTCTATGTTTATATACATGTTAAAA